TGTTAAAACAAAAAATATTTGTTGTTTGTGTCAATAAATTGGGTTAATTTAAAAATACAGTGGTTAAATTTAAACATTTTTTCTATTGCTCTTTGTTTTAAAAAAGGTTATAAAAAAAAGTCAATAATTATTGATACCGAACGATATGAAACATTATATCGTTGATACATTTTTTAGCTACATCGCCCAGCCCTAAATGGTAATATGTTTTTTGTACATAGAGCTATGGTAAATATCATGGTTTGGACACAACTACAATAGCAATACTACGGTATTCAGTGAAATACTTTGATATCTTGATTCTGAATGATTACCATATAAATGTTATTTACAAAAAAACTGCCACCCTCACAAAACCTCCTTAATGCAGTGCCATAGTATTACCATGTTTTATGAACATGTTCCAAAGTAAAATGTTTTTACCAATACCATATCTTTTACAATACTATGATGTTAGTAGCACAACAGATGAATATGGTAATCAGTATCATAGTAGGCTATATATCAAAGTACCATGGTATTGCCATTATCATGTAAGGTAAACACTTAATAGATAATATAAGAGGTATTAAGTAATACATGCAATACTAAACATTATACATTATTAATTTGGCATGTAAGCACACAGTTAGTGTGATGTGAAGTGTGACCTTGTTCAGATAGGATGCGCGCAGCTGCTCGTGCGTCTGCCGGTACAATAGACTGGCCGGTGTGGAGAGGCGTGTGCGCGCGACTGATGAGACACAAGAACCGGTTTCACCGGATTTTTTTTTTTCTAATGTGAACGTACCTGTGAAGTGCTGTAGGGTCGGTACCGTGCCCTGGACCCACAGGCTCAGCACTTGCTGCACCGATAGATTAATGGAATAATCCTTATTCATGTTCGCGCTGGGCGGCTGGAGCGCGGCCCTCTTGCTCAGATATCTGACCGAGGATGGGGGACACATGGAGCCTCCTCACCGGTGCCGCTGCTCGCTGGAGGAGGATGGCGGAGCGGCGGTCCGTCTGATCAGCTGCTGCTCAGGGGCCATGATGGGTACGGCTGACACACACACACACACACACATACACACTCTCTCACTCACTCACACACATACACACGCACGCGCGCGCACACACACACTGGCGCTTCTGCATGGCTCTTAAAGGCGCAGCGCTCTTAAAGGGAGGTGAACGTCACATTCACATTACGACCAGATACAATAGTTTATGAATGAATAAGCCTAATATAAATTGAATTTATTCTGCATTGAATTTAGAAGTGGAGAGAGAGAGAGAGAGAGAAATTCTAACTTCAATTTGAGTAGCATGCAATAGGTTATGTTAAACCAGATGCTATATAAAATATCAATTTTGATATTTAAATCTCATTTACATATTTAATATTAAATAAATACTACTACTACTAATAATAATAATAATAATAACAATAATTTAGTTATACAATTATTAAATAATTTAATAATATTAATACAAATATTGTTATTAATATTATTGATAATAATAATGCTTTGATTGTACACAGTTTAAGTTCAACCAGATTCAATACAAAGAATATGAATTTGTATATTTAAGTATAAATTAAATATTTATTATTATTATTATTGCTATTAAATAATAATAATAGTAATTTTAGTCATTTAATGTTAAATAATTTCATGTTTAGATTATGCATGGTTTAAATTAATCCAGATATAAAGTAATATGAATTTGTATATTTAAATATTGATTAAATATTTAATATTAAATAATAATAATAATAATAATAATAACAGTAGTAATTATTATTATTATTATTATTAAATCATACATACCAAATATAATTTAACCACAGAATACTATTTAAATTGATGATCATCATAAAGTGGATTTATCATGTTCACTGTTGAAACTGCACTATAATATTTTCTACTAGAATTGTCTCCTCTTGCTGTTGCCCTGCTGAGTGAGATAAGGTTGTTGCTGTTCTGGAAAATTCCTGTGAATTTAAACAGATCCATTTTAGGACAGGGGTCTGACAGGGTTTAAATTTAAATGCTGTCTAGGAAGCATACACATTAAGTAATATTAATGTCTGAGCATTTCCTAAAGAAACTGAAGAAGCTTTCCTAAGCTCCTGGCACTTTGTGGAAGAGATTATATGCTTAAACATCTTCCCTTTAACTACATAATATTACATGTACCAAAGCACTGAAATGTATCAAGCCAAAATGTGCCACCAATCAGAAAAGATGCAACCGCATAAAAAAAAAAATCTATTGATTCATCTGTAAAACTTAACATAAAAGTCAAAAGAGCCACCCTTTGATTTTTTTTTATTTTTTATTTTTAAGGACAATGAAGCCCATTCCAAGAACAGGTTTACTGGAGTCTGAACAAAAAAACTGAGCATGAACTAATGGGATTTTCAATGGGACAGTGACATAAGCGGAGCAGCTTCTGTTCCTCAAACCCACACCCTGATCATTTTTCCACTATTTATCGCCCTGACATTTGAGCCTACACTTGTTGTATTACCTTACAAACCCAAACCTCTCAGCTTCTGCTTTCTCATTGTAAACGCTCCATTCAAATAATGGCCGAATCGCAAGTCATGTGAGGAGAGGACACCACACCAAAGGACTGGATGAAATAGTTTGAAGGCAAACACCTGACACTGGACCTTTTGTGAAGAAATCCAGCTCCTCTATAGGGCCGAAGGGTGTGTTTCCAAAGGCAGAAGGAATCATTCAGCACCAGGGGCATTGTGGGACTGCATGCACACAAACTATTAATTCAGGCATCTCTGAGTCAATCAATCATTCAGTTTTGTGCAAATAAAGAACAAAATGTGCTTTGCAGATAAATAAAATGCAAATTATAAATTATTTATATAATGTATTCAGTGTTCATCTTTAATGGCACAGAAAGTAATTTGGTCTTGGTCAGGTTAGGGGTACAAATTACCATAACAAACAAACATGTGATTTGCATATCACAAACACACCTCTCCCGTGTGGTTCCTTCAGCCTTGAATTTAATGAGGCTGCTGAAAGACAAAATAAATAAACATCCATCATACTTTACTGTGATATTCCAATGTGTCTTTGGCACAATGAAAATTGCCTATGGAAAATTCCATGTAGTAATATAACTTGTTCATATTCACAGTATCCAGCAGATGGCGCTGTGAACTTACATTGTACTGATTGACCCAGTAGTTTTCCAGTGTTAGACATGAAGTATTGTAGGTCATATAATAAAATACAAAGAAACAAAAAATAAATAATAACTACACAAATAGTAATTTTACATTTGAACAAACACCTTCATGATAGTGCAATCAACTGTAATGTTTATGGCTAATAAGTTATTTTTAGGAGGGGGTGATCCTTTTTCCAACTCAGTGATTCGGTTTATTTATTTTTCAGACATGTTGGTGTCTTTCACTTATAAGTTACACTGAGTAAATACAGCTGGATAAAACAAAAACTGTGTCCGTCTTCATTTCATGCTGCAAAGCAACAAAATGTGATTATTTTAAAGGGGGTGATTCTTTTCTCAATGGCA